AAGATATTTAAAATGATTATTCAATTAACTGTAACTAAGATATTGTAACAAATTTTCATAATTTGCCATAAATAAATTATTTTCCGCGAAATCGAGAGACCGTCGGACGGCTGCCGGAACAGTTTGACGAAATTAAGGCTCACTTTTGGCGCCTCTGGAACTCAAGGTTTCAGAGCGTAAAGCTCGAAACTCTCGGCTTGCACGCCACAATGCAATCGCGCGTCGTCTCGCAGTTCCGTCGTCGTGCGGTAATACCGTGGAATCGAATTATGCGGCGTCGGTCGCCGCGGGAGATGGGAATTAATAGTTTCGGTCGGCGAGGAGAAAAGCTACGCGTCGACGCGGCGATGAGGGAATAGGGACGCCCGGCGTTGTTCGCCGATGGGACCGGGTATGGATATTGGGCACTGGGCTGGCAGACCTGCCTGAGCAATAAATCAAAGCCGTCCCGCGGTAATATACTGCTCGGTCAGCCTGTTTAACCGTAATAAAGCGCATTGCTCCCAAAGCGACTGGAATCGAGAAGTCTCGCAAGACACGGTTTCACCGATGTTTCGATGTAAACTCCGCGAAAATCGATCACAACATCGCGTTTCCAGTATATCTTGCAAATCTGAATTTTGGATGAATATTGTGTACAGTTAATCCCTTGAGTGCTCTGGGGGAAATATAAGCTTCAAATACTTCCAATAAAAATTAAATAAGTACACAAAAATTTTTGGATATTTTAGAATATTACCAAATCTCTAACTTTGAGACAGAGCAACATTTTAAAAATGAAATAAACGAACTCATAAATAATACAGAATTATTTTTTATATAAATAATTCTGTATATATATGTATATATCAATATATCTGCAGTTAGTTTTTTTTCTCGTGTATGCCTGCAATGTTTAAAAAGTTAAGTCGACGCTGTTCAGACTCTTGAATTAGGAACCCTGGTCGCGTGGGCATATGTTGGATATGATTTTGTACGAGATAGTTAAAATTCGTTGAAGACGTAGTTAAGACGCGATTAAGCTCCCTTGGAAGTACGTGAGGAAAAATCGTCGAGACTTTCCAGGATCGCGGCGCGAAACGTCCTCGGGCTACCTCCGAGGACGAAGTCGACGAAAGTTTCTTTCCGAGTGGGCGACAAATATCGTTTCCACCTCGATTCGATAGCAATCGAGGGAAAACAAACGCTCTCGCTCGAGGGGCCGAGGATGGATTATCCCACCGATGCCTCTGCGATCCTTTTTTTCGCGTCTTTTCCGACCCTCGCGGCTTAAGCTAACTTTTTTATATTCCTCGAGCAAACATTATAATTTTTTTCCTATTTGAATGGCAAACGCCCAGGAGCTCAATTTTTACGTGCCTGGTTTCGGATTCAGATTCTTAATGCTTTTAAGACAGTAAACTATGTTTTATATATAAAACTTTATACACAGAAAAAAAGAAGTGTTAAACCAACACTGATATACTTGTATATACGCAAGAAAATATAATCTTCTTATAAGAATTTCAACTTTTTATTTTAACTTTTTTTTTCTCGATTGAACTATATAAAACTTCGTTTAACTATATAAATCTTCGTTCAAGCAAGTTTTCTTCGTTTAATGCAATATAATCTCAGTTCAAGATTATATATACTTGTGTATTTACAAGTATATAAATATAAGTATAAAGTGTTGATTTGACACTTCTCTTCTTTCTGTGTATATGTTACTGTGTGTAGTACATACTTTATTTTGCAATCTAAAAATACAATTACATAAAAAATGTAATCAAGTACTTAAGTACTTAAGTTTCGGGGCTAATAAGCGATAATACATTTATACTCAGAATTCAATACACTTTCTAACCACCGCATAAAAAATACATTTTATCTTAAAAACCAAAGTTGACTTTAGATTTCTGAAACGCCTCTATTTATAAGAAAAAGTATATTACTATATAATGACCTTCTTGAAATCATCCAACTTTTGTATATAAAAATTTTTCATACAACACAAGTTATACAATTAAGATGCCCTATATACATGTATCCATTTTAGATATTTATAAATTTAAATAATGCTGAGAGTGTAATTTTAGTCTACAAAATAAAAATCCAATTTTAATTAATTCTATATTCTCACCTTAATCAATTTAATACGTGCGCGAATCTTTTATCTGTCTTTTAATCTTATATGTATATTAATTGCAATATAATGCAATATATGTATATCAAATGCTGAGATCGTTAATTACCGCTCAATGTCTCTTATCTCTTTAATACGGATAATATGATTCTACGTACGTCTAAATATAATCTCTACGAAAGAAATACGCTCGTCCAACCCGAGAAAGACGTTTACGACGATCAGGATGCGTTACATCATCGACCGCAAGCATCCCGATGTTTGCTCCGGACCAATTCGGACAATTTGACGAGCGGCCGGTCAGTGATACGGCGCCATTGCCCAGTTTCGGAGTGCCTATCCCGGTGCGTAATGCCGCATAACCGTTCTGCATTACATACGGACGTAGGATCGGTATGCGAGAGCGCGCAACCCTTCGTGCCCCACGCCCGGGAGCGCGCGCGCGCGCGCCCGCGCGCCATCATCCACCCTCCCGAGAGCACGAGGTGGGTAGGGAAGGCATGTATTTCGCGGGGTGAATAGCCGACGCGGTATGTTCCTGGCTCGACGCCAGGCCGGGGTAACTATCAGCGCTACCACATTAATAGAGTTTTATTGTTATTTACGGCAAGGGGGCGCCCACACGCTCCCCTCCCCCCCCCGCCACTATAATAACCCGTCCGCGTATTAATCGCTGCACGTTCGATTTATTTTATTACGCGCTACTTTAAACGCCACTCGTTGCGCCCATTTCATTTGCCGTTCGTATATTCGTCCGCGCGAATATCGGGGCGCGTTCAATTGTCGTGCGTAAATCGCCGCGATTGTGATCCGCGCGATAACGCTCCGCTTTCCCCATGCGACGCGGGGTATTATTACGCGATGAATCATTTTTTCCCGTTAATTCTCTCGTTATGTGCACGCGTGTTTATCGTTGCAAACCCAACACGCGCGCTAAGCGCCTCGTTCTCTTTTCGTTTTTTGCATTTATTACCATATTGGATATTTGTACGAGGTTTATCAACTGGTACGTGAAACCAAGCAGCAGAGAGATGCATCGCAATACCTCTGTCACAAATCGATTAATAATTGTCATTTATTTATATTAATCCTTCGTCCAAAACGAGCGAGAAGCGTGAAGAGTGAAACGTCGTGCAATTTCCGGAATGGAGAAACATCTACATTTTTATTGTCGTTAATTTTGCAGCCGATGGCAAGCTGCAGCGTACAAATCGGAATCGAATTAGGAAACTTTGCAGAAACAAATCTTTGCGTGAGAGAAAGCGCGCCGGACGTGATTGCACAATGTAGAACGCGCGCGCCTGTTAGAACGGATATATTTTTAAAAGTTATCTCGTTATCGCCGCCGACAAACTCGATCAATTCGTCCGCGTCACGTTCGCGCTAATGTATCTCCGTCCGCGTGCGGACGCGGGCGTTCCAGCTTACAGCATCTTACACTTGGGCGTGAAATTTCAGAAGACGCGGCGCGGTGCGGCGTGGCGCTGTCACGCGAGCGTCGAGAGCGTCGGATTTCGCGAGAGTGCCACTTCACCCGGTGTCGGCGTCGCATCGCGTTGCATCTTCCCCCAAATTATTGACCTCTAGCTCGTGTGATGCGGGTGATGCCTCCGCTTTTTGCTTGAAGAGTGCTGTCACGAGAACAGCCCATTTCATGGTCGAAACCTCATCATTTTAGTCACAGAGCGATACAATTTTTGCTTCGGTCCATTATTGTAACGTCTTCACCGCGCAGCATCTCTGTGATAGGCTCAAAAGCACAAATTCTCCTGTTAATTACAACTAA